CTGCGGAGACCGAGGCAGCGGCGGCTGCTGAGGGGAAGCCCCCGTCGTCGTGCTGTTGAAGGGAAGCCATGGTGCCGCCGGGAGGGGACCCGTCTGGCCTGGAAGTTTCTTTGTAGTGATGATTTGTTCATGATCTAATAAATGAAACTTGCCTGAAGATCAGAGTGCATATCTAAGTCATAGAGGTCAGGCAGTGGTGGCACACACCTTGAAGCCCAGCACTTGGTAGACATAGCCATATGGATCCCTACAAGTTCAAGGCTACCCTAGAATACACAAGATTGAATCTGTCAAAAAGAGAAACAGAGATCACACAAAGATGATCCTAGCACTTGGGATCATATGTCTTTAATCCCAAAACTAGGGAGGTGGAGACAGTAGTGATGTCTGGATAGACTGGATGGTAGTATGGCTGGATAGACAGAGGAATATAAGGTGGGAGGAGATAGGAGCTCAGGATTCAATCTGAGGTTTCATAGACAGAGCATTCAGTCTAATGATTCGTAGGGGCAGGATCGCCCCTTTAGTCTGAGGATTCAGTCGAGGTAAGAACTAGAGGCAGGTTTCTTTGCTTCTCTGCATCTCTGATCTTTCAGCATTAACTCCCATATCTGACTCTAGGTTTTAATTATTAAGAGCAATTAGAATTCATGCAACATTTATTTTTTGTTGTTGTTGTTGTTTTCCAAGCTTGTCTGATTTCAGATCAGGTTGGTAGGACAAACCTTTAGATACTCAGTGTTGATTTTGGGTTGGGGGAATGCGGGTGATTCCAATTTAGTTGTAAGCAAAGGAAGTATGCAAATGCAACAATTGGATCTGCTTGGGCTTGTATGCAATCTGTTCTACCTGAACTATGCTGAGGAGTATGAGGATGATTTCAATGGGTCAGGGTCTTGGTCTCTCCCTAGACTAGGCCAGTGTGCAGGTTGTGTGACTAGGGCTAAACTTGAGAATTGAGAATGAACAGGCAGTTTCAGGGACTTACCAGACTGGACCAGCACAATAAAGTATATCGTAATCTAGGTCTAGAGATTGGATATGGTGCTGGCAGGCTAGCATCCAGCAGCTTCACCATACTTGGCTGATACACAATGTGTGTGAACCTAGAATCAAACCTAGAGATTGAGAATGGCACAAGGAGGCTAGGATCTGCAGAACTCACCAGCCTGACATGGCACATGGGATGTACAATGTGGGTTAAGGTTGGCTATGGCATGGTCACACTAGGTGTTTCCTGTCGGGCCATATTATACAGGCCCATATTTCTACATTGCATGGCAGCCAGACTTTCAGGCCATAGTTTGCACCTGGCCACACAGAAGGTGGTCACCTGACCTTTCCAGACAAACTGACCCATCCTAAACAAAGGGTCAGGATATGCTAATGTCTCTCTGCTCCTTCTTTGTAATTCTGGAAGATCACCTGGGGAAGAGGTGTTAATTTGGTCTGCAATACAGAGCAGTCATAGTTGCCATGCCCTAAGTCCTGCTTCCAGGAAACAGAATAGTAATGAACTTCCCCCTCAGTTTACCTTTGGAGATAAAAGCTGTTTGGATAATAAATGCGGGTGATCTTCAGGATTTGAATGAACCCAGAGACTCCCTCCTGATATTGCTGTGAACTGTGCCTCAATTATTTCCACGCCTCTACACTCTATCACTCTCCGAGATATAATTTATGTTGGGGCTGGACTCCAACAGTTTACACTGGTAGGTTTCCCGTATTCCAGTATATGGCCCTACAGCTATGTACATAAGGGCGCCACTAATCGAACTTAGTGCTTTACCCAAAAGAAAAAGAAGACATGAAGTTGAGAGTAGGGTGTTTTGGAATGGATATGAAGGGAATTAGAGGAGGGAAATGGTGAGTATGATATTTTAATACATATATTAAATTCTCAAGCATAAAACACTGAAAATTAAATGTCCAAACTCTAATTATTCAAACAATAACTGAACTAATGAAGTACATAGACAGTTTTCAAAGGAAGGAACTCCAATAAAGATTTGTAAAGGGGTTAGGTATATTTGCCCATCACCAAAAGGTAAATTAAAACCGCATAAAAATTCTGTATCACATCAATTGGAATACTTTATCATCAAGAAAGCAAACAAATGCATGTAAGGATGTGACAGAAAAGGAACCCTTACATATTGCTGATGGAAATGTAAACTGGTACAGCATACTGTAGAGATTAGTATGATTGTTCCTCAGAAATTTAAAGAGAGATTCCCATTGTATCACTCTTGGGCATATTCTGTAAAGACTTCACACCATACTACAGAGATACCAGCATTAGCTGGTGTGATGACTTTTGTTGGTTGTCAATTTGACATTTGCAAATAACTAAAATTCAAAAATGGGGGGGCACACCTGTGAGTGCTTTTTGATTAATTTGAAATGGAAATATCTACTTCTAATCTGAATATTTGAGGTAGGAATATACCTTTAATCCAGACTTGTTTTAAGACAGAAGGTTTTTTTGTGTGTGTAGCCTTGGCAATCCTAGAACTAGCTCTGTAGACCAGGCTGGCCTAAAATTCACAAAGATCTACCTACCTCTGCCTCCTCAGTGCTGGGATTAAAGAAATGGACTGCAACTTCCACCAGACTTAATCTAGCTCTTGTGCCACACCTTCTAATAGAAGCCTATATGAGGACAAGGAAAAAGAAAATTCTGCCCTTCCTCCTTGTTCTTGCCCCACTAGTAAGTCCATTGTTTCACAGGCATTATAGCCTATTCCTTTTGGATTTTGGCCTATAATGAAGACCATCTGAGACATTCAGCCTCATGGACTGTACAATTATTAGATTCTTGGGCCTTCTGTTCAGGTGCAACTATTGTTTAATTAGCTGGATTACAGCCTATAACTCATTCTAATAAATTCCCCCTTTCTCTGTCTATATATATATATATATATATATATATATATATGGACAAGAAAGGATCTATCTATCTATCTATCTATCTATCTATCTATCTATCTATCTATCTAGAGATTCATTCTATAAGTTCTGTTACTCTAGATAACCCTGACTAATACAGCTGAGGAATGGAAACACTCCAGTTGGTCATCAAGAGATGAAAGGATAAAGGAAATATAATACATATATACAAGGTGAATTTATTCATTCATTCAATCACAAAGGAAGATGAAATAATGGTATTTGCATGAAAATTGATGTAACTGAATATCATGTTAAACACAGGAAGTCAGTTTCAGAAAGATAAATGTAATATCTTGTCTTTCATATGTACAACCTAAATAGACAAACTCATAAAAACAGAGGATAGAATGGTAGTTTTCAAGGTATTACAAGAGGGAAAAGAGGAAGATGATGACCAAAGGATACAAAGCTTTAATTACACACACTGAAAATGTTCTGGAAGTCTAACATACAACACAGTGCCTATTAGACAATTAAAAATATGCTAAGAAAGAAGATATTATATTGTTTTTCCAAAAAAATAGGGAAGAATCAAAGGAGAGAGAGAGAGAGAGAGAGAGAGAGAGAGAGAGAGAGAGAGAGAGGAAAATTAAAAGTGGAATGAAGAACTCTTGGAAAGTTTTGGAAGGGTACTATGATGAATACAACTTAAGGAGTCTATTTTATTCATATAGCTTTAGAGGGTTAGCTTCCATGATGGTAGGGTGGACAAATATGACAGCAGGTAGCTAGAGGGGCAGCTGAGATGTCACATCTGAAATCCCAAGAATGAGGCAGAGGGAAAGTTAGGAATAGCACAAGTCTTTCAAAATCTCAAAGCCAATCCCCAGTGACATACCCCCTCAACAAGGCCACACATTCTAGTCCTATATACATACTATTCCACCAACTGAAAATCACATGTTCAAATGCTCAAGGTTATTTTGTGAGACATCTCATTCAAACCACCACAATGGAGATGTATATAGGTTTGGGTATATGTACATACATACACACACATGAGCACACACACATATATATTACCCAAGTTCATTAAGTTGTATACATTAAATTTTGACAGTTTTCATATACCAAGTGTATCTCAAAAAGGTACATATTTTAAAGAAAACAACTCATAAAACCCTGCAGAAGTATATTTTTTAGTAGAAGTAATTTTGTGAATTACTAATTCACAAATGTAATTTGTGTAAATTAGTAATCAGGAATTGTCTAATATATCAAAGACACATGAATAAACTGCAAAACCATATATTAATGTTGATAAAAATGGCAAAGAAAACTTTACCCTAATTTTGGTGACATAACTCTCAAGGACTTATTACGAAACCTAAAGGTTAGACTGTGACATGGCATACAAATGTCAGTGTAAATTGCTCCACACTAGTACTTTTAAAGTCCTACAGATATGCCTTTGTCAGCACTCTGATTAAACCTTAGAATTAGTTTTGAATAATATGCCTCAAGTTTATTTTTCCATAAACTAGCTATTTTGTATGATGTAGTTTTTAAGATTTATTTTACATAAGAAAATCCACATATTTGAGTGTTTCCTTCTTCGATGCTGCCAGCTTTTGAAAATTTCCTTTCAAGCCAAATATTTTATCTCATTCATATTTGTAATCTCAACCTTCACAGTGACTTT